CAATGAGTATTCCTTTAGTGTAGGACTGAAATTAAATAAATTTTTCAGTTCTTCAAATGTCAAAGGAACACCCTGGTCATTTAAAAGCTGTTTCACCAACAGGATATTATTTTCAAACCAATTATAAAGAAATAGAGATTTATTCTTATGAGTTATATATTGGTTGTTCCAGATGTAACATTTGTGTGGGGAAAAGTTGTGTTTATAGGCTAGGGTCCATGACAATAGCATTTGTTTGTGAAAATTGGAAAGTACTACTGGGATTTTATTAACATTGTATTGACAGAGCAAGGTAAATTTTAAGCCACCAATTTTAGAGAAAACACAGTGAGGGAATATATACCAGATAGATAAAGGAGATTTCAAATAAGATTTCAGCCAATTGATTTTAAAGGTGTTGTTTAGGGTGGTAAAATCTAATAACTTAGAATTAGGTTGTGGGGGCACTAACCCTCTCGGCGAGGTGTGTCAGTGGCTGGGGGTGAAAAAGACACGGACAATGCCGCTGCACCCCCAGAGCGATGGATTGGTGGAACGCTTTAATCGTACCCTGGCCACTCAGCTCGCGACCCTGACCAGCCAGATCAGCGTGACTGGGACCACCCCCTGCTGCTGGTCCTGTGGGCGTACAGGACAGCTGTGCAGGAGTCTAGCCACTGCACGCCAGTGGCCCTCATGTTCGGCCGGGAAATCCGAACCCCAGTGGACTTGGTGTTTGGACCGCCTCCTGAGCTCGAGATCCCTGTGGGACCAGAGCTGGATTACTTCCAGCGGCTGAGGGAGCGCTTGGGCTCGGTCCACCAGCTGGCCAGGGAGGCTCTGGTGGACGCTGGGGCCCAACAAAAAAGGGCTTATGACGTGAAGGCCCATGGACCTGTGTTGAGGCCTGGGGACAAGGTGTGGGTCTACTGCCCCCAAAGGAAGCGGGGACAGTCACCCAAACTGGCCCAGCACTGGCAGGGCCCCGGTGAGGTTTTGGATCAACTGTCTGATGTTGTTTTCCCGGTCCGGATGCCGGGACGGATCCTTTCCAGGTTAGTGACTCTGGTGGTACAGGGGGAGGGTCCGATGGTGGGGATGGGATCACCCGGCGGCCAGGGCATGTACGCCGGGTCCCAGAACATTTAAGGGACTTTGTGTTGGACTGATGAGGGTTGTGGGGGCACTAACCCTCTCGGGTGGGGGCTATGTGGCGACCCTGACCGGCCGCCGCTGTTC